ATGTTTCCCATTTTGATTAATAAAGTTGTGTTCGAACCTAGTTTATAATGATTTAAAATTCACAGTTTGAAACCACAATTACTTTTTCACTAACCTAACACAATATAATGATTTGATATTCATATATGTTGCAAAATGATCACCACAGTAAGTCTAGTTAATATGTGTCATACACAGTTACAAGGAATCTTTTTCCTTGTGATGAAGACTTTTAAGATTTACTGTTTTAGCAACTTTCAAATATGCAATGCAGTATTATTTCTTTCTCATTTATGTATTCTTTTTTAGTATTCCAGTCAGTTCAGTTCAGTCGATCAGTTGTGTCTGACTCTTTGTGACCCCATGGACTGCAGCACGCCAGGTTTACCAACTCCCAGAGCTTGTTCAAATTTATGTCTATCGAGTCGGTGATGCCATCCAACTGTTTCATCCTCGTCCATTTCTCCTCCTGCCTTCAATCTCCCAGCATCAGGGTCTTTTCCAAGGAGTCAGTTCTTCGCATCAGGTGGCCAAAGTATTGGAGTTTCAGCTTCAGCATCAGCCCTTCCAATGAATATTCAGGACTGATTTCCTTTAGAATTGACAGGTTTGATCCTGAAGTCCAAGGGACTCTCAAGAGTTTTTTCCAACACCACAGTTTAAAAGCATCAATTCTTTGGTGCTCAGCTTTCTTTATTGTCCAACTCTCACATCCATACATGACTACTGGAAAAACCATAGCTTTGACTAGATGCACCTTTGTTGGCAAAGTAATGTCTCCACTTTTTAATATGCCTAGGTTGGTCATAGCTTTTCTTCCAAGGAGCAAGTGTCTTTTAATTTCATGGCTCCAGTCACTGTCTGCAGTGATTTTGGAACCCCCAAAGATAAAGTGTCTCACTGTTTCCATTGTTTCTTCATCTATTTGCCATGAAGTGATGGGACCAGATGCCATGATCTTCATTTTTTGAATGTTGAGTTTTAAGCCAGCTTTTTCACTCTCCACTTTCACTTTTATCAGGAGGCTCTTTAGTTTCTCTTTGCCTTCTGCCATAAGGATGGTGTCATCTGCACATCTTAGGCTACTGATATTTCTCCCAGCAGTCTTGATTCCAACTTGTGCTTCATCCAGCCTGACATTTCACCTGATGTACTCTGCATATAACTTGAATAAGCAAGGTGACTGTATACAACCTTAACGTACTCCTTTCCCAATTTGGAACAGGTCTGCTGTTCCATGTCTGGTTCTAACTGTTGCTTCTTGACAAATTTCTCAGGAGGCGTGTCAGGTGGTCTGGCATTCCCATCTCTTGAAGAATTTTCCACAGTTTGCTGTGATACACACAGTTATATATATACCACAGTTTCTTCACCTATTCATCCATCAACAGACACTTAGGTTGTTTCCATGTCTTGGTTATTTTAAATAATACTACAGTGAACATAGGGGTGCATGTAGCTTTTCAAGTGAGTGTTTTCATTTTCTTTGGATAAATACTCAGAAGTGGAATTGCTAGATCATATGGTGGTTCTATTTTTAACTTTTTGAGGAACATTCATACTCTCTCCCATAGTGGCTACATCAATTTACATTCCTACCAACAGTGCTGGCAGGTACTGTGAACCCTTTTCTCCACATCCTGGCAAACACTTGTTATTTGTTTTCTTTTTGACGATTGCCATTCTGACAGGTGTGAGGTGATGTCTCACTGTGGTTTTGATTCGTATTTCTCTAATGATTCATGATGTTGAGCATCTTTTCATGTACCAGTTGGCCATTTGTACGTCTTCTTTAGAACAATGTCGATTCAGATCTTCTGTCTACTTTTTAACTGAATTGTTTATTTTTGATAATACTGAGTTATATGGGTTCTTAATATTTTTTGGATATTAATTCCTTATCAGATACATGATTTGCAAATATTTCTTCCTATTCAAAATGTTGCCTTTTCACTGTTGATAATCTTCTTTGCTGGGCAGAAACATTTTAATTCAATATAGTCCCACTTGTTTATTTTTGCTTTTGCTGTCTTGGCTTTTGGAGTCAGATCCAAAAAACTATGGCCTGATGTCAAGGAATTTGCCACTTATGCTTTCTTCTTGGAGTTCTATGGTTTCAGGTCTTACATTCAAATCTTTAATCCATTTTCAGTTAATCTTTATGGATGGTATAAGACAGTATCATGTGACTGTCCAGTTTTCCCAACACCATTTATTTGGAGAGACTATCCTTTCCCCATTGTGTATGCTTGACTCCTTTGTTGTAAACCAATTGACCATGTTGTGGGTTTATTTCCAGGTTGTCCTTTCTATTCCATTGATCGATGAGTTGTTTTTAATGCCAATATCTTACTGTTTTGATTATTGTTGCTTTGGAATATAAGTTGAAATCAGGAAGTATGTTGCCTCCAGCTATTTTCTTCTTTCTTAAGATTGTGTCAACTATTCTGGATCTTTTATGATTACATACAAATTTTAGGATTGTTATATTTCTGTGAAAAATTTGGAACAATTTTTTTTCTGTGAAAAATTGGAATTTCAATGGGGATTGCATTGACTCTGGAGAGTGCTTTGGTGACTATAGACATTTTAACAATAGTAATTCTTCCAATCCATGAGCACAGGATATCTCTCCATTCCATTTATTTGTGCCTTTTTAAATTTCTTTCATCAATGTCCTACAGTTTTCAGTGTACAGGTCCTTCATCCTCTTAGTTAAATTTATTCACAGATATTTTATTCTTTTTGATGCCATTATAAACAGAACTGTTTTTATTTTTCTTTGTGATAGCTCATTATTAGTGTATGGAAACACAACATACTTTTTATCCTGCAACCTTACTAAATTCATTGATTAGTTCTAGCAGAGTTTTTTTTTTTTTTTTTGGTAGAATCTTTGGGGCTTTCCATGTATAACAAACAACACATCATCTGAAAATACTGACAATTTCACTTTTTTTTTCCAATTTGGATGCCTTTTTTTTTTTTTAATTCAAGATCCATTTGTTCTCTAATTTTGCCAACATAGGAACACCCTTCCATGCAAGATCTTGCAGCTTCTCCAACCACCCAGCTGGAGGATTTTAGGGTGAGGACCCCAAGGGGTGCCTGCTGGGCTGTTGTCACTGTAGACAGGACTCCTGCTGCCACCACCACTGCCCCCTCCCCAATTCTGTCCTCTCCACTAGACTTTCTGTCATCTTTAGTTTCCCTGGAGTTTTTCAGATTCCAAACCGTCTTTGCTCATACTTCTGTACATGCCTGCTCCCTCAGGCCTGTTGATCCACCCCAGAGGGGTAGAAGTGCAGGTGTGTAGAGAACACACAGAACTATTTCTCAGCACACCAACATTCCACACAAAACTATCTTATAAGCCTTCAGATTCTTCTTCATCAGAGGACATTCCCAAGGACTTTCCCTAGCTCTGCACTGCCCTTGTGGGCAGACTAGACATTTGTGGTTACCAGGCCGTGTGAGTCGGGCAGCACGTGCAGATAACTGAGGATGGTACCCTGAACCTCAGCAGGATCCCCATCTTGGGTTGGAGGCCTCATGACAGCAGCACAGTTCTGGAATGTTCTGTCCTGAAGCAAGTCCTGGCGTGAACAGAGTCACACCTACAGGTCTTATTCTCGCTGACCAGCCACACAGGACCAAGCTGGGCCAAAGGATCTTGATCTAGATCTGGATGCCTTTTCTTTCTTTTTCCTGCCTAAGTGCTCTGGCTTTGGGTGTGTGCTTTTGACAAATTCATAAATTCATTCACTCCATTTCACAAATGTTTGAATGTTTGCTATATAACACACACTGGGGTTATGTCAGCAAACAGTCCAGACTCCACAGCTGTCATCATTTTAGTGTTTTATGTTAGAAGGAGTTTAGTGCCAGGAAGAAAATAAGACCAATTAGGGGATAAGGAGTGTGTGTGGGTGGGTGGGTGTGTGACTGAGTATGTGTGTTTATGGGTCTGTGTGTATGTGGGAGGGGGTGTTTGCCATTTTAAAGGTGTTTGGGAGTATGAAACAGGTCAAGTGTTTCCTGTAGAGTCACATTGTGTTTGTGGGGAGGGGTATGCACAGGGTTGCCTCTGACTGCTCTTTCCTTGATACGGAGGGGTGGGGTGGGTTGGAGGGGCGCTCTCGCCAGGGCAGGTGAGACTGGAATGAGAGGGGGGAGTCATGCCCGCCTTATTGACTGGTTTAGTTCCTGATAGACTCTCTACAGCCTCCCCAGTCCCTTTCTAATGGCCTTTCCCCAGTCTTACAGGAAGATGTGTGAGACAGAAAGAGGCAGAATCAGGTGTTCTTGGCAGAAACATGAGCAAATGAAAACTGGCTTACAAGGAAACCATCTATAGTGATAACTTCCTGACCCCCGTCATTAGGCACACACTCATTTTAGTTCATACACCAGCACTAGTAAGAAACGTGAGGCCTCGAGACCACAACCTCTGCGGGGACACGGGGCGCGCAGCGGACCCTGGCTGTGGCCTGGGGCTGCGGGGAGAGCGCACGGAGCCGGGAGCTGGTGGCAGCGCGCACCTAGCGGTGACTGCGGGGCCCGCCGCCGGCTCTGCGCGGGGCGGGGCCTGCAGGGGGGCGGGCCCCCGGCGGGGCCCCTCCTCCCGGGCCGAGCGCGGCAGGCCCGGGTTAAAGAGGCTCGCGGAGGCGGGCGCGGTGGACAGTGCTGTGGCGCGGGGAGGAGTGGCGCACGTGGCTCCGGCAATTCTGCCCCGGGTTCCCTCAGCTCCTTTCCCTCCCGCGAGCCGGGGCCCTGCCACGGCCCCTTCTGTGTCCGCGCACCCCTGGCGCGCGTGAGAAGGGTCCACACAGTTCCCCCCGCGCTCAGCCGACCAACTTGGAGCCGCAACTTTGTTGGTGGAGCCGCGCCGGGTTGAACGGAGCACTGCGCATGCGGAGCTCCAAATTCAAACAGCTGTTTCCAGGGGCTGGAGGGCGGGTGGGACTGGGAGCCGCTGGGGCTAGGGGAGGCTTTCTCCAGGAGGCGGCCTCTCGGGAGCCATGGTGGACCGGGGCCCTCTGCTGACCTCGGCCATTATCTTCTACCTGGCCATCGGGGCGGCGATCTTCGAGGTGCTAGAGGAGCCGCATTGGAAAGAGGCCAAGACAAACTACTATACCCAGAAAGTGCATCTGCTCAAGGAGTTCCCGTGCCTGGGCCAGGATGGTCTGGACAAGATCCTGCAGGTGAGCCGGAGGTTTAGGAGTGCTGAGGGGGAGTCCCTCGCAGCTTTGGATGACCCTCACTCTGTGGGTGGTGCTGGGGGGTGATCGGTGAGGATGTCTCACCGTGAGTCTGACCACTGGAATCCGTCGTTCTCTCTTGGACACAGGAATAAACGCACGCGCGCGGAGGCGCTTTGGAACCCAGTTTGTGCCTAGAGAGAACTTAGGCTTGACCCGCGGGTGAACCAGGCCCCGAGGTGGCTCTGTGTGGGTGCGCGGGTATCTCCCTGGTTGGAGGAGGCTGTGGGGCGGATAAGGGCGTTTATCTTCCCTTGGAGACGCTCCCAGAGTTCGGGGTACCCGCTGGGTGCCACCCCCTCGCGTCTCCACCTCCCAGCTCCCGGGCCAGCGGCAGCCCGCCGGCTTTATTTCGGCCTTTCTTCACCAGCCCGGGGGAATGGCGCGAGGCTCCCTCGCCCCTCGCAGGGCTCGGGATAGGGGGGCGGTCCGGGGCTCTGTCGGGCCTGACCCCTCCGGGATGCGGGCTGGTGGCGGGAACGCTGGAGACTCGCGCAGGCTTCCGGGAAGGCTTATCTCGTGGAGACATCCCCGAAGGGCTTGGAGTTCAACTTTGTGAAAGTAACCAATGGAACAAAAGGACAGCACCCGGGGCGTCCCTTTTCGGGGGTGGGGGAAGGGAGGAGAGGTTGTGCAGAATGGGAGGTGGTGGGAGAGTTTCTTCTCCGTGTTGGGGTAGATTCGTATGTACTACAGTTGACATTAATCTCACTGGGATAAACTGCGGGGCTTGTTTGGGGACCGAAGGCCTGTACCCCAGTTTCTCGAAGGTTCTTAACTTTAACCGTTCACCCTCCTTGGCCTACCGTGATGGCCTCCCTGCAGCGGAACCTCCAGACCTGGGTAACAGCCGGTGAAGGCTGTAGGTGGTGAGGTGGAGTACAGATATCGTCCAAGGTGTGATATTTCTCTTGGGGTGAAAGAGCTCAGAAAGGAACTTTGATGAGGAGCAAGGTTTAATCTACTTTGCCTCCCCCATCCTCTATGGCTGTGTAGTTACCTCTCATTTTTCCCGCCTCCATGTCCCTGTATGTAAAATGGGAATGAACCTGTCTTCATCTGTCTTTCCTGCTCTGGTCTGCTGGAAGGTTGAAAGCATTAGAAAGCATGACAGTGTCTTGCCTGTGGATTCCCCTTATGGTCCCCAAATCAATGGACACCTAAATACCCCAGGTGAGCTTATAGGTGCCTGCCGGCAGCTGGTCAAATAGATTTGTCCTCTTGGGAGCCAGTGGAAGATTTAGGTTAGAAGGTTGGGTATTGAATTTTAGTGGAGAGTTTCCTGTCTGGGAGCAGTTTCCAGGGCTGGGGGCTGTTGGGAGATGAGTTTGGTGGGAGGATGCGCTTCAGGAGGGAACTGGGTGATGTCAGTCCTAAAAGCAGGAGATCTGGGTGGCTGCGCTTTCCTTGGGTTGGGTGTCTGCCCTGTGTGTGTGTGTGTGGGGGGGGGGGTCACTTTATAATTTCCCTTGAGGAAACAATTCCTCTGGAGAAGAGTTGTTGTTTACTTCACTCCAGGGCTTTGTTTAGAGGGGGAGGAAGGCAGGCAGGGATGATAAAGAATCGGGCTGCCCTCGAAGTGTTTCCCTCTTTGCTGCTCCTCCGCCACTGCAGGGGAAGGAAGGAAAGAATTCAAGGCTGAATGTGGGAAAATAAACTTCAAAACACGAGGAGTAGGGAAAAGGGGGGCGGAGTGGTCTGGTTGAGGCACCCGGGTGCAGCTGGTGGTTATAGCTTTGGAGGTTAGACAGCTTTCTTAAGGTGTTGAAGCAAGCAAGAAGCCTGACATTTTTGAAGTCCTTTTAAACCCGCCAGCAATTAGCACCCCTTTATCCCCTCCCCCCCCCAAATCCAGCAGGTAACTTTAGGAAAAAGATTTGGGCCTCAGGCTAGTTTGATTGGGACATGCTTATAGACAGGCCAGCCTCTCAAGCCATATCCAACATGGCAAGTCCCCTCCCTTCATAGGAAAAACCCCAGAAATGAGAATGAACCAGTGGAAGCGTTATGCCAGCATTGCTTTCCGTCCACGGAAACCTGCCTGGCATTGCTCTCTGATCTGGGACTTGGGGCACTGCTTCAGGTCTCAGGAAATTGGTTTAAGGAAAAATGAAAACTCAAAAATCTTCTTACCCATCTAGCTGCTCCGGCATTTTCCACCTGAATTCTGTGTTTTTATCAAGTTCGGAATAATCACCTTTGTAATCCTAACAGAGTCCCTGGTTAGGAATTCCTGGGGTGGGGGCCAACCCCCTGCCCCAAGGGCTGTTGGAAGCGGTGCGGGGGGGGGGGGGGGGCGCGGGGGGTGCAACCTGGTTTGAGGTTTTTCTTAGAGTGGAAATTTTGTGTATTCTTTCAAAGAGAGAGAGGGAGTTAAGGCCCCTTTCTTTAGATCTTTGGAAATAGTTCCTGAGTTGTCAGGTGCTTCCTCCCTCGGTGCTGTGGTTGCACTGAGGCGGAGGAGGCTGACTTTCAATCGCTCTGTGCCACTCTGGCCCCAGGCCACGTGGTCGCCCTCCTTCCAGCCTTTGGAGCCATCTTGAACCCTTGCTCCCAAGCCTGCTCCTCCAGCTGCTGGGTGACCCGTTCCCCCAGCCTCTTCCTAAATTGCAGAGGCTCCCACAAGAGGAGTTGGCATTGGCTGAGCACCTGGCATGTTGGGCGTTGTGGGCGGCAATCAACATTTTACGAGAGAGGTCCTAAGCTGGTTTTGCCATCTGGCTTGGCCATTTACCCATCCAACCATTTGACTTGGCCTCTCTTTCCTCATCTGCAAAGTGAGGGTCTGGCGAGGTTCGGATAAGTGTAAGCATCAGACATCGGGTGTGAAAACACCGAGCGTCACATCACTGCACACGCTGAGGACATGGTGACCGGGGCAGCCTTCTAGGTGCTTTACCTGCCTGAGTCAGGTACTCTTTATAGCACCCTTACGTGTTCAGATAAGGAAACTGAAGCTCAGGGGAATGACCAGGAGGGCACACGCAGACTTGGCTAAGACCTGGACATCTGCCACCAGAGCCTGCTCCTTGTCCATACACCCTCGCTCTCACCCTTAGGCATGTGAAGCTGTTGGTCTGTCGGTGAGCTTAATAAATTGGTTCTGCTGGACTCTGGTCGGCTGGGCAATTCTATGTTCTATTTCTCCTAGAACAGGCATGGGCATGCAGGCGTCTCCTGTGTTGTGCCTGGCTGAGTCTGCACCTCCTCCCTTACGGCAGCCGTCCACCCCACCCCACTTCTCCTTGAGAAGCACAGAAAAACCAGAGGGTTGGGATGCCGGGCAGGAATGAACTTTTCTCAACCTTCACCTCTGCAGCGATCCTAAACAGGAAGGTTTTCCAGGGCTGACTGTGTGCCAGGATTTTGAATAAGCACTTTACCTACGCTTTGATTTTTATCTAGTCTTCTCTTTTCAATCAAGATGAAGACTTGGAGATGATGTAATTTGATCTTATAGTACAGGGTCAGGTTTCAAATTGAAGTGAAATTGAAGTATATTGCAGAGTATATGGGAACTAGCCAACAAGTGTTTGTTAAGCGCCTGCTGCGTGTGCGGCAGTGGGCAGAGCACTGGAAATGCAAGGATGAATTAGACACAGCCAGGCTCAGACTGGCCTGCTGGAGAGAAAATGGAAAAAGCCACCTTGACAAGACAGTGCGCCAGGGCGCCCAGGTCCAGCCTGACTTTAGAGGGAGCTCTCAGGAGGAGATGCCCTCCAGCCAGAGTGGGATCTTGATCATTATATGGTTTTTTTTTATTGTTTGTTTTCTGGCAGCGCCTTACCCCACAGCCTGGAGTAGGAAATGGCCACCCACTCCAGTATTCTTGCCTGGAAAATCCCATGGACAGGGAAGCCTGGTGGGCTGCAGCCTGTGGGGTCCCAAAGAGTGGGTCCCAACTGAGTGTCTCAGCACACCCCACGGCATGCAGCACCTTAGTTCCCCAACCAGGGCTCGAACCCGTTTACCCCTGCAGTGGAAGCGCAGAATCCTAACCCCTGGACCACCAGGGGATTCCCAAGAGTGGGAACTGGGAATTTATGAGGCTGTCCGAGAAGAGGGCGTCAGAGGAGGAGATGGTGGACGGTATCACTGATGGAATGAACCGGAACTTGGGCAAACTTCAGGAGATGGTGAGGGCCAGGGAGGCCTGGCGTGCTGCAGGCCACGGGGTCGCAGAGAGTCGGACACGACTGGGTGACTGAACAACAGCAACACAGCAGGAGAGCGGGAAGAGGATCCTAGCAGACGGCCAGGAGGGAGACCACAGGCTTCACGATGTGGCTCTTGGGAATCCTTTGTTTCCTGGGGGTACCGGGGTCTCCCCAGGCCCTGCCTTCTGCTGGGGCACCCCACCCCTAACCAGGTTTTCTTAGACTGCTCACAGAGCTGACCCATTCCTGGAAGCCTCTTGGATCCCGCCAGCCTCCTTACCTGCCTTGTCCTTTTCCGAGGTTTTCTGTATGTGCCCAGTCGCTCTCCTTTTATCTTCTGCACCCTTCACGCTCCCCCACACATATTCTAGTCCACAGAGTAAGGCTGATTCCAACATTGAGGCTCTGACACCAATCCTCCTCCTAAAAGTTTAAAAAAATTTAACTACGAATCATGTAAAATTACATCTGACTGAATGCTCAGACTGGGCACATGACTTGAATTTGGTGGTGGGGGTACCTAGGGTTAACATGAAAGCCTCTTTTGTTTCAAGCCTTGCTGGAAATTGTAATGCGCACTGGTCCACTTAACTGCCTTTGTAAGTAAAGGGAGCACAATCGATCTTTTGATTATCCAGGATCACAGAAGCCTCCGCTTCATTCATTCGAAACTGAACTCTCACCGTCCAGGACTGCAGAAGTGGGAAGTGAAGAGGTTGGGGTTTTTTTTTTTCCATTTATTTTTATTAGTTGGAGGCTAATTACTTTACAATATTGTAGTGGTTT